CTGTCTGCATGGTGGAGAGTCAGGGTTGGTGCATTTCACCTCTTCGCCCCTGTCCAGTTAATCATGTTGTTGTCTTCCCCATGTTCTCCCTGTAATTTATTATTTATATGTGCATTTATTGTTGAAAGTTAAAATGTTTGATAGCACTAAAACAAATTATGAGTACTTGTAATACAAGCAATTTGTTTATTTCATCCCTGTTTATCTAGAGTCATAAAATATGAACCATTTGTGTGAAATGTTGTCATAATTGCTGTGTGAAGTCTTGAGTTAGGGCTAAAAAGTGTTGTTGTACCTTTGACCTTTAGCCACCAAATTCTAATCATTTTGTCCTCAAGTTGAAGTGAATGTTTGCACCAAATTTGAAGAAATTCCCTCAAGGTGTTATGGAGACATGGCACTGACAAGGACAAACCGCATTTTGTGAGGTCACACTGACCTTGACCTTTGACCTTTGACCACCAAAATCTAATCAGTTCATCCTTGAGTCAAAGTGAAAGTTTGTGCCAAATTTGTTACTGAGATGTCATGTCCACAGCTCTGGCTGTCACTGGCGCAGAGGGGTAATAATGTGTAAATGTACATTTACAGTTACAAATGCCTCAGTAAATGTGGTCCTGTTTATCTTTTGACAAGGCCGACCTCATACAGGTCAGCCACTGTCACTATTGTCCTCCAGTATATATACATTTATATATTGTATTTATAGGGATGTACAGAGAAGTGTCACAAGGTCAGAGCTCTGTAACGAAAACTGAGCCAGTGCAGCTTCAGGAGCATGAATTAAACTTTGTGAATGTTTCAGACAGTGGAGATTAAAATGTCACAGTCAACCACATCTGAACACAAACGCCCTGACAGCAGAGTTTGTCCTCTCGGCTGATGTAGAGTCATCATGGCAGACGTCTCCACAGCAGTGTCACACCGTGGCTCTTTTCCTCTCTGAAGGGAGCTCACTGTTGGTTTGAATCCTCCAGGACAAAAGAAAAACAGGCAGCAGTATCTGAAGCATTCGTTCTGGGTTGGAGATATATGTGGTTTATACTCTAACCCTGACACTGTAATGATTTAAAATAATAGTTGTGAAAAATACATATTATGTGTAATTAAAAATGTTTGAGTAAACTGTGCAAACTAAACATATAAACCAGAGTAAATGATGGTCAGTTTTCTTGGGCCATTTTATCCATGTATTTGATAGAGAAATTAGAGACAGACAGGAAATACAGGGAGAGGAAGGGGAATGAAACGCAGCAAGTGGTCTGGATGGCCGGGAGTCGAACCAAGGGCTCACTGCTCAGGGCGTTTGAGCCCATGTGGTACGCATCCTGGCCATTTGGTGATGATGTCACCCTTATTTATTCAGTTTTAGTCAATAGAGAAAAAATCTACAGGAACGCAGGACTGAATGACCCTGACCTCTGTGGTAATGAAGTCATTTAAGGGCTTTGTGCTGTCCCACCTCAAAGCCTTCACCAACCCACTACTGGACCCCCTCACAGTTCACAGGAGGTCTACAGAGCCAACAGGTCTGTAGACCTCCCCTCACTTCCCTTCCCTGCTACAGTCCATCAGGACCAAAACGTCACACTGCAGACTGCCAGAGACTGACACTGACCCCCACACACACATACATATTTGTGTTATTTTTATATTTTTAAAGATATATTTTTTACCATTTTTATTGTAAATATTTGATTGAAAATGTTTCTATTTCTATTCTATCTAATCAGCTACCTGAACTGCAATACTTTATCTTTCTTTATATTTTTTCTTCTTATCATGTTTATTGTTAGGAACCAAAAGCACCAAAAGCACCAAAAGCAAATTCCTTGTATGTGAAAACCTGATTCTGATTCTATGTTTACTTGTTGGACGAGACAAACAGTGAGTTGTATGAAGGTTACTGAGGACGAATTTTTACTAATGGTAGGTGAAATTCCAGTTATCATTTCAGATTTACACAAGAGGAATTAAATTGACTGCATCAGTCATGTTACAGAGGAAATATATGTGTGGTGTCTTCTCTCCAGCTGCAGCAGCAGCAGCTCACATGTTCAGCTGTGATAAAGGCTCAGATCAGCTTATCAACAGATTACTGTGCAGGCAGTTCCACTGTCTTTACTGTGACTCATTCCAACTTCATTTATGAGCACAGATCATTCAGAGACATGAGTTTATACAAAGCCTTCTTCTCTCACAGTCCGGCTCCTGTTGTCTGACTCAGTCCCCGTCTGTCAGGTGAAGTGTAGATGCTGCTGTGTTGACAGATGGAGTCAGTACAGAGAACACAGGGAGGTCACACAGGGTGACACCCACCACTATTAGATAAGATGTGATGATGTCACATGTTTCAGTCTGCTGATTGGGTGGAGTGGTCTTTGGTAACCTGTCAGCGAGAACACCAGCTTGCTTGGTGCACCGCTCTGCTGATAGAGATGGTTCAGGCTGATCAGGACCCTGGACCAAGAGCTCACGTACAAGGACCCTCAAGCCTGTGAGCCATTTAGGAGACAGCAGGTGCTTCGTCTACCTGTCTGCCACAACAGTAATAAAATTACAGCCAGCTCCTCCTGAGCAGAGACATGTTCAAATCTGGTAAAATAAAAGAAGTCAAGAGTGGTGCAGGGACGGGAACTGGTTTTCAGGGTTCATGATTCTAACATGAATGTTTCCTGTCTGTGTGGAATTTCAGTCTAAAAGTATTTATATCAGCTGAGAGGATTGCCATCTTATACCCAGTTTACACGTAGAGAGGCATTTAAAAGAAAAATCTGAGTCACCAGGTTGCTGTTGATTTCCAGTCTAAGTTCTCTGTTTATCCAGTACGTGGTCTTCAACACTCAAACTATTCACACAGACCACACTGCAGTCAACACACCACCTGACCCTTGTTATCATTGGATTTAATATACGACTGTTTTTCTTTTACTAGTTTTAATGAACGTTTTTCTCTCACTGTAATCCTGTCTAACTTTGGTAGCTTTCTCTTTTCTACCTATTCTACAACTTCCTCTCTTTCCATTCAGGTTGTAATGAGTGGGGTTATTATGTGAACTGTATGCGTTGGGGTAGGACAATAGAAAATAGGGCTCACTGGACAATTTGAATAAATGTCTCCTTTTCTTGGGGAGTTAACAGTGATTTATTGGAGGGTCTGTGTGTGATACTAGGTGACATGCTGAAAGGTTTTCCAGCTTCAGGTTTATATGAGGTCTGACTTATATCCTCAACTTCTGGGTCATCCAGCAAAATACATCGTACAAATACAACAACTAAATCTGATGTTGCTATTGAGTGAACACACCTCTCCTCACAGATAAATGTAGGACTGTTGACCTGCTGACTCAGGACAGGGAGTCTAATCAGGAGAAACCAGAACAGCTTTGGGTCGGTCCAATCTATTTGGGGGGGTTACATGCAGCAACATGATTAAATCACTGTTTCTTAGTACTGTACTCTAAGTACAGTTTTGAAGTACTTGTTCTTTACTCGAGTATTTCCATTTTATGCTACTTTATCCTTCAACTGCTTCACCTCAGAGGGAAATATTGTACTTTCTACTCCACTACATTAATGTTACAGCTTTAGCTACTAGTTACACCCCCACACCCCCTCCAATCAGTTGAATCACTCCACCACATATGCTCAATCAAAAGAACAAAACAACAACAAAAATCTCTTACGCCTCTGACCCTGCTCATCCAGCTGATCCAGGAGACACTATTGGTTCCTACCCACAAAAAACCTGTTTTAAAAATAGTTTTACCCCACTACAGTAAAGACCCTTGTTACGACCCGGCCTCGGGGAAACCCTGGTGCAACGTGAATGCTGAGAGACTCCCCTGTTCCCAGCTCCCAAGAACCACCAGCCACAAGGAATTACAGCCCATTAGAGTTTTTATTCAAGATTTCTTTCTCTTCAGGGTGGGCTAACAGCAAAATAACAAACAGAAGTAACTAAGACTAAGGAACCTAAACTTACCTACTCAAACAAAAGAGGAACAAAAAAGCCACTAACCTAACTCCTAATAAACTTAGAAAAAACAGAAAATTAGGTTAAACAAAATTGCTACCCACCCCTACGGCACCTGGGCTGACATTTCACATGAGCAACTATATACAATATTTAAACATGTTGGCTGGCAGGCTGGTTGGAAGTGGAAGAGATGAGCCCCTGCAGAAGCTGGAAGAAGCCAGCCTTAAAACTACAAGCCTGGAGGCTGGCACCAACCAGCTCCCTGGAACAACCTACAAACTCACACAGTCAATCATTCAATCAGCCCCTGCACACCTACATCCCAACACACACACACACACACACACACACACACACACCTCAGCAGGAACCCTAGAAAGAAAGAGAGATATCCACAACACCAGCACACATTAAAGCACATACAAATTACCCATCAGAAGAGTGCTCCAAATGTCCACTGGTTTCAGATACTCTGCTGCATACCGATGGAATGAGCTCCAAAAAAAAAATGAAGTTACACTCTTATTTCTCTAGAAATTTTTAAAAGACTGTACTTATGTATCTACAATCACACTTTCACGTGCTTTTCTTAAATGTGAAAGTGTATAGTGTATGTCTGGGAATTATCTGTGTATCTATTTTAATTGCCTCTTTGTGCGTCTCTGTCAATGTATTTGTACATGTCAATTTTTGTACACAGGTCTCTCTTGAAAAAGAGATCCTGATCGCAATGAGACGACCTGTTTAAATAAAGGATGTAATAAAAATAATAATGATGATAGTAATTACTACTAATAAAAAAACTCAGGTGGAGTTACTCGTCTAGAAAACTTTTAAAAAAACTTAAAACTCTACTTTAGTTTGTCTGAAATGAAGAAACCACAGTTTCAAAGATGACTCAGAGTTTGGAGTGATGATTCATGTTCCATCTCATTTATGATCAGTCTTTATTAACACGATGACACCAGACCTTCAGAACTCTGTTGTCATCTTCTTCTTCCTGTCTCTCTCTTCTCTCCAGGCTGCAGCGTGATGAGCACCATGGACCCCCTCCTCTGCATCACTCTCCTGTTCCTGCATAAGCTCCTCCCCTTCCTGTTGGCCCACTGAACAGACTTTAACCAAAATTATGTTGACCTGCAACATTCTCACTTTCTATACCAAACAGAAACCAAGCAGCAGTCAGTGCCCACAGAAGGAGAGAGGCTCACATTAAATGGATGTATGCCGCTGCAACACGTCACTGCAGAGAGTGAGAGCAACACAACACCTGACGGAGGAGACCAGGTAAAACAGAGGAGGAGGAGGAGGAGGAGGAGGAGGAGGCTCCTCGGACATGAGGCTGCGTGAATGTCGTCAGAGAAGAGTGGAGAGGAGACATGTTCACAGTAACGGTGGAGCATCACTAACGGCCTGTACAGCGCTGCTTCCTCAGACACGCCACACTCACGTTTCCTTCCAGCGTCTCCACTGTGAATCCTGTTCATCTGACAGCACACATCACCGCAGTGTGTGTGTGCGTGTGTGTGTGTGTGTGTGTGTCCTACTGATGATCTGAACACACTCACTGTCAGTAGTTATGAGGAACACATGACGGCCATGTTGTTTTCTTTGGTTTGACAGTCGGTATACAGAGATACTGTGCATTAAGTGTGTTAGTCTGATGTGTGTCAAGTCCACCCCCATCCCACACCCGCGCGCGCACGCACACACACACACACACACACACAGTTTTGTTCTGTGTTCCATCATGTAAACAATAATCAGCTCATATATTTTGACTGAGATAAGTCACCTGACCATAGTTGTTGTTAATCACATCAATAATGTTTATTTTTATTAAATCTCTGGTGATCAAAGTGACATTTCATTTCTATGAGACAGAATGATTTATTGGTAACAGCTCAGATGAAGATTTATTGTTTTTGTAATAAAAGGTAGATTTCAAAGGCGTTGCATGTTCATGGATTTCTTTCAGCACAGGATTATACACAACAGGAAATATACAGGAAATGACTCACATTAATCCTTATTACCTGCAGTCGTCCACACAGACGACTGCAGCCTCAGAAAGGACCAGGCCTTGTTTAGATTTCCAGGAAGTTTGGTCTCAATAGTCATCAGTTCTAATATTTCGTGACCTCTGATTAATGCTCCCATCAGGCCAAAGATCAACCAAAGAAATAAGTTTGTATTTGTATTATCATGAAGCTTGTCCACATTTATGCTCAGCAACTACTTTAAAGCTCCATGTTTTCCTCGTTGTCTGTGTTTTATTTGAAGTGTTGATCCATTGGTTTTAAGAACCAAAAAGTGTAGTGTAGTTTTACATCTCCTCTCTCAGGCTTCTCTCTGGAGCTCTAGTAACAACAGTCAGTGAGCCAATCAGAAGAGAGGAGGCTCTGAGCCTCTCTTCTGTGTTTCAGGTTTAACACTCAGAAAAACCAAATCCTGCAAGGTTGATGGTTGGTGGGCAGGGCTTGGGCGTGGCTGAGCACTGCTTTGTTGTGACATCACAAAGTTCCAGAAGTCCTGACGGCTGGTTTTAAGGCTCAGTTCCTGAATACAGGCTGTGTGCATTTCTCTGTGGACTGAAGCTTTGATACTTTCACAGTATTAATATAGAACCTAGACCTGCTTTATAATCAAACTACACATGGACATCTGCCTTTATACTATATGGACATTTAAAGTATAAATTATTATCAACATATGGTCATGGTCATAATGAATGAATCCCACTAACACACAATTTTGTCCTACACTTCTCTGATTTTCCACTGTGAGGTTTGTTCACCAGACTCTCAAACCTGTGATAAATCACTTGTTGCAGACTGATGAACATCACCTGCTCATGAGGAGCTGCACATCAGGAGGAAGTGACAGTCATGTATACTGGAGCTGTTGTGTTGACTTATACCAATAAAACCATTTAAATCACCTCTCAGGTACAAGAACCAGTCCAGTCCTACAAATAGATTCTTTCTAAAGAGCCACATATACGACTGATTTCAGAGATTTAGTGTCATTAATATCATTGTACAAACAAACCTCACAGGTCCAGACCAGTTCTACAAATCTTGAACAGACTGACTGACCCCACAGACTTCAACCTGACTGCAACTGAACTAAAACCAGATCTGGTTCTGGAACCAAATAGCATATATGGCTTCTAACACAAACTTAATATTCAATAATCTCATGGACAGAGGTTTGGGACATCCAGCATTTTAGTTCTGACAAACCAGATAATAACGCTTAACTGGTTTTAATGGGATATAACTTTGTGTTAAATCACAGCAGCATCATGTGAGCTTTAAAATCCATGTCCACACTGGATGATCCAGAATGTGGTGTATGGTCTGAGTGACTGAACTGGTGTCCAGGAGTCCAGGTCCAGAATGAGTCAGCTGGTCTGCAGGGTGTGTTTAGATCTAGCTCCCAGTGCTGGTTGAAGATGAAGACAGGAGTATTGTCTTGTACAGCCTGTGAGAGCGTCATTCAACATCCTGGCTGGGAGATCAGGAGATAATATGACGAGTTGCTGAAACATGAATTAATAAGACAGATAGAGATCTGAGCAGGCAGCTGCCCACAGCTTTACACTAAAACTCCATTTCCACGTCTTCTGATCCAGCTCTCAGATTATTCCACAGCCAGAGAGCAGACATGGTGTCAGACCGAGTCGCTGCTGAATTAATCTCATCTCAGCGAGGCCGAACCAGGCTAGAGAATGTGACTCACCTGGACCTTACATAAGCCACGGTGTGTCCTGTTGAATATCATTCAGATACCACGACCTGAGGACCTGAGGGTTTCACCTCACCCCACCTGTGCCACTAAAAATAGGAACAACAGACAGCCTTACTCTGATATATCATACACACCAGTTCATAGAAGCGTTGACAGGTCAGTTCTGTTCTCCTCCATCTCAGTTGAGTGTCTGACAATATATAAAATAAATGAACACAACACAGGAGGGCAGATGATGATGATACATTTACCTACTGACAAGGACAAAGAGAAAGACCCAGGACTGACTGTGTCACCATCATTTACAGTAGCAGAGACACATCACAAATGCTGAGCAGATTATTAATATGATTATTGGTGATTGACTGTAATAATTAGCTGAGTGTATCGCTTATTAAGGGTGTGCAAAACAAACACCAATTAACATTAGATTGCGGATCTATCTCTAGAGATTCAAAATCGATTCATAAATTCCATAAAATTGATTCATAAATTTTTCAGTCTTGTAACAGCGCTGGTTTAAATTTTTTCCTGACATGAATTCAGCTCACCATCCCTATAGATGGCACCATCTCGGTTTCTGCCCAGATACTACTCCTTGGCGTGAGCGAGAAGAAAGTGCAGTGAGAGTGATGGAGAGACAATTTGCGAGCAATGGAAAACATAAAGGAGAAAGGAATTCAACCTGCCTTATCCTCATTGAAAGCAAGCATTTGGACGTATTTCGGATTCTATAACCTTGAGGGGATGAAGGAGCTCGATAAGACCCATGCCGCAGGCTCTGCACCACTGACTACACTACAATCACTACAAACTACAGGACTCACATGGTCATCCAGAGATTAAAGACGTGGATGAATGACAACCTAGCATAGTAAGTTGACCAATGCGCTCTGCATCAATGTCATAAACTTCCTGTCATGGTTTGACGTGATGGACAATTTCTGTTTGGACTTTATGTTGATTTCCTGGTCTACTGTATATTGAAATTACTTCCCTTGTGTGTCTTGTGGTTATTTTACTTCCTGTCTTTGTCCTGTTTCCCCCCTTAGTTTTTGTCTGCCCCACCTTAATGTGTTTCACCTGTGCCCAATCACCTTTGCCTCCCTTGTGTGTATTTAGTCTCTGTGCTCCCTGTCAGTTTGTTGGATATAGTGATACATGTACTCAAGTTTGGATTGCTTGCTCCCGTGCTCCATGTGTTTTTGGATTTCCTGGTTTTTGTACCTGTTACTGGGTGTCCACCAGTCTTGCCTCCATTTTGAGTTCTGTCAGTAAGATACTTTTTGTTATTAAAAGACCTTCTTCCACCAACCCCCTTTTTGTGTTAGCTGCATTTGGGTTCAGTTTTTCCCCAAAAATATGACACTTCCAGCCAACTCTGAACAGGCAAAGAAAATAACACAGTCCATAGTCTATTTCATTTCCAAAGTTCTGCACCCCTATAGCATTGTTGATAACGAAGGCTTCCGGTACATGATACACACTGTTGAGCCCAGGTATGCTATAAAGCGGTACCTCAGCTTCACCAAGAGAAGGTTAAGGTCACAGAAGCCTTGGTGAAATCAACAAGCGTGTGTTAACATGTGATGCGTGGACATCAAGAGCAGTTGAGTCTTATGTCACTTTATTGACGACAACTGGCAAATTGAGCCTTGGGTTTTACAAACTAGAGTAATGAATGAAAGCCACACAGGAGCACATCAGAATCAGATTTTTCAGACTGTTGCACAGGAATGGCAGCTCACAACCCTGACCTGGTCATAGCTCCTGCTAACACTGCAAACATGATAGCTGCTACAAAACTTCAGACACGTTAAGTGTTTTGCACACATCATCAACCTCACTGTAGACAGAGCTCTGAAGCTGCCACTTGTGTCACGTCTGCTGGGGAGGCTTCAGAGAATCACTAGATTTTTTCACCACTGCAAATCATGCCCTTGAACACAGACAGAGGTTGCTGGATCTGCCACCCCACAAGTTGAAGACGGATGTGGCTACAAGATGGAATAGCGTGTTCGATATGGTTGACAGACTCCTCGAGCAACAGCTGGCTATTTGTGCTGCTCTGCTCTCTTTCAGGCAAGAAAATGTGAAATCGACATCTGCACGCTAAAGAAAACAGACGTCGCCAACGTATAGGAAATGGCTATGGCGGTAAAGTCAATGAAAGAGGCAACCACCATAATGTCTGAGGTTAGCACACTGACGTTGTCTGTGGTAGTTCTAGTTCCAGTCGTCAGGGAAATCAAACAGGCCATTCACGAAGATCTGGCCAAGAGATACACAAGAGTGGTGGAGAAGAATATGCTCCACACAGCCTCTATCCTGGACCCCAGATTTAAAGCTCTGCCTTTCCTTCCCAAGTGTAACAACAGGACATACACTCCAAGGTGAACTGTGGTTCTGTCCTTTAATAATAAAAGTGTAAGAAAATATATGCTCATACACACACACAGTGTGTGTGTGTGTGTGTGTGTGTGTGTGTGTGTGTGTGTGCGTATAACAGTGAATCCTCCTACAGTTTGTCAGAAAATAA